CTCTTCCCCGTATGTTTGATAACTCTCCCCTCCTCCCCCTCCCCGTATGTTTGATAACTCTCCCCTCCTCCCCCTCCCCGTATGTTTGATAACTTCAACCAGCGCTCGAAATTAATTAGCCACCATCTCCCCGGAGACCGGTCGCGCTGTATCCCCCGCTGTTGTTTGTTTTGTACGCGCTGCGCCGCGAGCGGAAGCACCGTTATCGGCGGCGGCCGGTTTTAGACACCGCGAAAGCAACACCGGCCTGGTGACGTCAGCGATGACGCAGGTGTGTCGCGGCGAAAGAATGCAATGTTCGCAGTAATGATCGAGCTATCACAAGACAGTCGCAGCTCTCGCGAGCGGTAAACTCTTTCGATAGCAGGCAGGAGTAATAGAGAGGGTGTGGGAGAGATAGAGAGGGTGGGGGAGAAATAGAGAGGGTGGAAGAGATGGAGAGGATGGGGGAGCGACAGAGAGGGTGGGGGAGATATAGAGAGGGCGGGGAAGAGATAGAGAGGGTGGGGAGAGATGGGGAGGATGGGGGAGATGGAGAGGGTGGGAAGAGATGGATATTGTGGGGGAGATAGAGAGGGTGGGGAAGAGATATAGAAGCCGGAGGAAAGATAGAGAGGGTGGGGGAGATATAGAGAGGGCGGGGAAGAGATAGAGAGGGTGGGGGAAAGATAGCGAGGGTGGGGAGAGATAGAGAGGATGGGGGAGAGATAGAGAGGGTGGGAAAATGGAGAGGGTGGGGGAGCGACAGCGAGGGTGGGGGAGAGCTAGAGACGGTGGGGAAGATATAGAGAGGGTGGGGGATAGATAGAGAGAGTGGGGGGAGATAGAGAGGATGGGGGATAGATAGAGAGGGTGGGTGAAAGATAGAGAGGATAGGGAATTGACTGTTATTATTGCTACTACTTCAGCGGCTGCTGTTGCTGCTGTTGCTGCTGTTGCTGTTACTGTTGCTGCTGCCACTACTGGTGCTGCTGCTGCTGTTGCTGCTACTATTGCTGTGGCTGCAACTATTACTGTTGCTTCTGTTGCTGTTGTTGCTGTTGATGCTGCTGCTACCGCTGTTGTTGTTGTTGCGGTTGCTGCTGCTGTTGTTGTTGCTGCTGCCGATGATGATGACGATGACGATGATAATGGCGATAATCACCTGTAGTCCGTTTCTACATAAGCTCCCAGCGTATTTAGCATCGTTAAGCGCCAGCCGGCGATGCTAATTGCGAGCTGATGAGTAGATTGATTATATCAAGGCCCGACGCGTGTGGCCACACCACCGTCATCAGCATCCCCCAGGCTGCGTGCGTGCGTACATACGTGCGTGCACAGCATGGGTCCCGGTAGCTGCTGGCAGGTGAGAAATCATTCACACGTACACGCACGCGCACACCTATACACAGCCGCTGACGTCATCACGTGCAGGCGAACATGGAGCGTAATTGCGATTTTCGTTAATCGTGGATGGTGGAGGGGGAGGGGGTGGGGGTGGCGCTGGGAGGGAATCTACCCGTAGCATGATTGCATAGGCAGGGGGGAACGTGGAGGAGCCAATGTTGTAGGGAGGTGGGGGAGGGGGTGGTGGAAAGACGGAGGGGAGGTGGAAGGTGGGGAGGTGGGAATGTGGGTGGTTGGAGTGTTGCAAGGCGGGAGGAGGGGAGGTGGCAATGCGGGGAGGTGGGGGAGGTGTGGCGCGAGGTCGCGAGGTTCGGCGTGGGGAGATATCTGGTTGGTTTACGTCTTGCCGTGCAATCGTCCAATACCAGTGTACTAACCTCTGTGGTTATCTCAATTGCAAGTGACATCACTTCACTGTTCTTTTACAACTGACACCATTGTGTTGTACCGCCACGTTTGACATCATTCGTTTGTTTTGTTGCACCTGATACCATTGTATTGTGGTGGGACAACTGACATCACTCCATTGTTCGGTTACAATTGAGAGCATTCTATTGTACTAGTACAACTTACACCATTCCATTGTTATGTTACAACCAACACCATACTATTGTGCTAGAACAATTAGCGCCACGCCCACAGTTGCGATTTCCACGCTAAACCTCGCGATATTTCACCGTTAAACTTTCTGTAATTACACTGACACACCTTCTGCTATTACACTGTTACACCTTCTACTATTACACTGTTATACCTCCTGCTATTACACTGACACACCTCATGCTATTACACTGTTACACCTCCTGCTATTAAACTGTTATACTTCCTGCTATTACACTGTTACACCTTCTACTATTACACTGTTATACCTCCTGCTATTACACTGACACACCTCATGCTATTACACTGTTACACCTCCTGCTATTACACTGTTACACCTACTGCTATTACACTGTTATACCTCCTGCTATTATACTGTTACACCTCCTTCCATTACACTGTTATACCTTCTGCTATTATACTGTTACACCTCCTTCCATTACACTGTTATACCTTCTGCTATTATACTGTTACACCTCCTTCCATTATACTGTTACACCTCCTGCTATTACACTGTTACACCTCCTGCTATTAAACTGTTACACCTCATGCTATTACACTGTTACACCTTCCTGCTATTTACCTCCTGCTAGTACACTGTTATACCTCCTGCTATTACACTGTTACACCTCCTGCTATTACACTGTTACACCTTCTACTATTACACAGTTATACCTCCTGCTATTACACTGTTATACCTTCTGCTATTACACTGTTACNAGAGATTAACGCGGACTATATAAACACGGACTGCACTACGGGGAACCTAATATGTTATATACTGGAACACAACTTTTAAAGACTGACTCAGCTCGTACAAGGCCAGCTGTCCCTGGACCCTGGTAACATCATAACTATGATCTAGGTTTTAATAGCAGACTACCATCACCGGCAGCTCAGCAGCAGAATGTTTTGCTTTTTCGCGCACATCGTTTTGTGTTGCATCGTTGCGCAATTCCCTGTCAGCTGTCCTACCCGCACAGGCCGGGCCACCCCACCGAGTGCGGCCGGCCTGGACGCGACTGGGTGACCCGGGGGCGCGACGCCAGACGAGGCCCCCGCGGCACGCCTGGGCCGGCAGGCCCGTACCTGCGAGGCCGCGGCTACTCATAGGGCGCATGCCCTGATACCGCCGGGAAATGCAGGCTGCCCCGTCCCGACATATCGCGCTGGCGCACTACGAGCCCCGCGCGGCGGCTTCCTGGGCGTGTTGCACGGGCCGACGCGGGCGATGCAGGGCCGGAAGTAGTATATCCGTAAGGCGCCACCTACTGGGAATCATGTCGGCGATAACTCTGATGCGCGGAACCGAGCGAGTTTGAGAGCATCTATTGTCACTAGTACAACTCTACAGCCATCCACTTGTTATGTAACAACCACACCGATACTATTGTCTACAGAACAATTAGCGCCGACGTCCACAGTTTCCAGCGATATTTCATACCGTTAAACTTGTCAATGTACACTGACACACCTCATGCTATTACACTGTTAAGCATTTGCTATCTTAACACACTGTTACACCTCCTGCTATTAAAGCTGTTACAACCGTTCTAGCTATTACAAGCTGTTACAACGCCTGCTACTTACACTATACACACCTCATGCATTACAACTGTATACAATCCTCCTGCTATTACACTGTTTAGCACCTCCTGCTATATACACTTTATATCTTTTGCTATTAGCAACTGCGTTATAACCTCTGCTCATTACATCTCGACAACCTCTGGCTATTACACCTGTTACATCCTTCTGGCTATTACACATGTTACACCCTCCTGCTATACTACCTGTTTACACACCTTCTGCTATTACACTGTTACAGCCCAGCTGCTATACACTGTGTATAGTCCCTCCTGCTATTACAC